CTTTCTTGGAAGACGCCGGCTGCTGTTGTTCTTGGATCCGGGCCATTAGCTTGCATCAGCATCTTTATACGCCATCCCTTTCCAAGAGGCGTGTTGTTGTTGCTTAAAAAATGTTTCTGCCAGCTCTCCATCTGTCTTGCCAGGTAAAAGAAGAAGGAGGAGGGTGGGGAGGGGTAAGTTGCATGTTTGGAGCACATGGCAAATCCATTCCTTATCAGTCCATTTTTAGATGTTTTAGAAGGTCTGGCCCATAGCAATTTCAAGAATGCAAAAATAGCCCTGCTGGATCAGGCCAAAGGCCCATCATTCTGTTCTCACAGTGGCCAGCCAGGTGCCACTTCTGGGAAACTCACAAGCAGGATCTGGGCCCAAGAACAAGTCTCCCCTCCTGTGGTTTCCAGTATTGAGAAATTGCTGCTTCTGACCGTGAAGACAGAGCATAGCTGCCATGCTTAGTAGCTATTGACAGCTTGAATTTGTCTAGTCCTCTCTTAAAGCCGGGGCGCGGGTGGCGCTGTGGGTTAAACCACAGAGCCTCTTAGGCTTGCCGATCAGAAGGTCGGCAGTTCGAATCCCCGCAACGGAGTGAGCTCCCGTTCCTCGGTCCCTGCTCCTGCCAACCTAGCAGTTCAAAAGCACGTCAAAGTGCAAGTAGATAAATAGGTACCACTCCAGCGGGAAGGTAAATGGCGTTTCCGTGTGCTGCTCTGGTTCGCCAGAAGCGGCTTAGTCATGCTGGCCACATGACCCGGAAGCTGTACACCGGCTTCCTCAGCCAATAAAGCGAGATGAGCACCGCAACCCCAGAGTCGGCCACGACTGGACCTAATGGTCAGGGGTCCCTTTACCTTTACCTCTTAAAGCCATCCACAGTTGCGCCCCCCGCAGTTGCGAGCTCCATAGTCTAGCTTTGTGCTTTTCCTTGGAAAAGAGCGAGCCGCAAACTCTCCTTGGAAGGTTTTGGAAAACGGCCCGGATTTCCTCTCTCTCCCCCACCCACCGCCCTGTTGCCTTTTGAAAATATAAACCCAGCTTTCTTGACGCTGCTGCTAATTACTCCATTAGTGCATATGGGGCTTGTTTATTTCTCTTGATCTTAAAACAATGCGGGTGCCTACTGAGAAGGCCTCTCTCTGGGGCTGTGTCACCAGCCCCGTGTACTTTGCAAAAGCATTTCAGCTCCAGATCAAACGGGGCACGTGATGCGTCTCCCGTGGCACCTGGAAATCTAGGTCTGCCATTAGTTGTCTGAAATGATAGAATTCTAGAGTTGGAAGGGAACCCCAAGGGTCATGTAGTCCAGCCCCCTGCAGTGCAACCCCCCAAATGCTTCTGTTTTGAGAATCTCGATCAAAAAATGTGTGGTCAGGTAGACGAGGCCCAAGCCTGTGAATTTTGCCCATACATACCATCTATTTTAAAGCACTCCACTTTAAAATTCACAGAGAACCCTGGAAGCTGTACAGTGATACCTCAGGTTACATACGCTTCAGGTTACAGACTCCGCTAACCCAGAAATAGTACCTCGGGTTAAGAACTTTGCTTCAGGATGAGAACAGAAATCGTACTCCGGCGGTGCAGCGGCAGCAGGAGGCCCCATTAGCTAAAGTGGTGCTTCAGGTTAAGAACAGTTTCAGGTTAAAAACGGACCTCCGGAACGAATGAAGTACTTAACCCGAGGTACCACTGTAGTTTGTTTTGAGTCCTGGGAATTGTGGTGCTGTGAGCTTAACGAACCGCCGTCCCCAGGATTCCTTGGGGGAAGCCATGACTGTTAAAGTGGTTGTAACAAGAGTGCTTTAAACATACCTACCTTCTTCATGCGAAGTAGGTGCTCTTCCACTCAGCTACCTCTTCCGCTGCGTCCAGCTAGCTGTGTGTTGTCTACACTGACTGGCAGCAGCTCTCTGGGGTTCCAAACAGAGGAAGGTCACCTAATCTTCATTTTAGCTGGAGAGGCTTTCAGGAGACCTTCTGCATGTGAAACAGGGGCTTTAACCCTTGAGTGTCCAGAGGAGTGTTGCTGAAATTCCCAACAGGCTTAGACGCATCCTTTGTTATCTAAACTAAAACCAGAGACACACTTCACCACTTTCAGCCAAGCTGGTTTTGTTCCAAAGCATGTGAAGAATTTCCCATCCTCAGATGAACACCTGGGTTGCATCAGAGTAGACCCACTGAAATAAATGGACCTGTATTAGTCATGTTCATTGATTTCAGTGGGTCTTCACATGGTTGGACCCTAACTTCCTATGTTTCTGTATTGGGGAGACACCTTCAGAACAGTAACTCATACAGAGAGGCAACGTTCTCGTTTCTTTTCTGTATCATACCGTCCTTGATTTATTTTCTGTATTATTATTATTTTGCGACCCCTTTTCCATGTGTTTCCATGATATTACTCAGGGGGTGCCATGCATTCCAAAGTAGGAATCTGTTGGCTTTCTCCCCCCCCTCCCCCCTCCCCCATTCCACTCCTTAAATTAGATAAAATGTGGGCATCTTGCTTTGGCATCTGCTCCCTGCAAGGGGTTTAAATATATTCTGAGAAAATATGGGGCAGGTGGGAAGGGAGGGGGGGGACTCTGCAAAAAGTTATGTTGCCTTAGGGAAGCGTTCTGCTAAATGTGGAAATCCATGCGCTGAGATGGGGAGGGGTGGCGGCAGCGAGGGGGAGCTTTTTGTAAAACTTACCAAATGAGCAGATTCTCTCTCTCTCTCCTTCTCTGCAAACTGGAGGCGGAATCCTGCTCTGGGGAGGGGGGGGCCTCGCGGGCTCTTTCTCGGAGCTCAGCAGCAGGCTGAAATCAGCAGGCAAGCAGTTGCAGAGTTTGGGGTCTGGGGAGGAAGAAAATGTTGCACCCGGGTTCTGCTTGCGAGCTTCTCATTGGGGGCACCTGGTTGGCCACTGTGAGATCTGGATCCTGGACTAAATGAGCCCCCTTTGGCCTGATCCAGGAGGCCCTTAAAGGTAAAGGTACCCCTGCCCGTACGGGCCAGTCTTGACAGACTCTAGGGTTGTGCGCCCATCTCACTCAAGAGGCCGGGGGCCAGCGCTGTCCGGAGACACTTCCGGGTCACGTGGCCAGCGTGACGAAGCTGCATCTGGCGAGCCAGCGCAGCACACGGAACACCGTTTACCTTCCCGCTAGTAAGCAGTCCCTATTTATCTACTTGCACCCGGGGGTGCTTTCAAACTGCTAGGTTGGCAGGCGCTGGGACCGAGCAACGGGAGCGCACCCCGCCGTGGGGATTCGAACCGCCGACCTTTTGATCGGCAAGCCCTAGGCGCTGAGGCTTTTACCCACAGCGCCACCCTTACATTCATACTAACTTGAACCCTTCCCATGGTGGTAGCAATCAGGCCATATCAAATACATTGTGCACTGTATCCTGCGTTGCCATTCATGCAACTCACACAGGGGGAGATTCCTTGTAGCTTTCCCAGCATTTCTGGCCAAGCAGGCGATTTTTGACGCTTCGAACACTGGAAGACAAAATCTGAGATACATTTTGATAGATTGGGTCAGCCTTGTGTGGATGGTGGCCCCTGCCCCTGTTTGACAAAGCACAGAAGAGCTGCCAGGGGGATAAATAGAAGAGAGAGTGTTCATTAGTCAACAGTGGGCAGAACCCATTTCTTCCTCCAAAATCTCAAACTTGTATATGGAAAGGATTTTTTGACAGTTGAGCTATTAGTAAGCTTTGTGTTAGAAACATGTTATTGCTACCAACAGGTAACTTTTGATTGTTATTGGGCAAACGGTTCCCTCTTGCACTCAAATAAGCTTCTGTGGGTTATGTATGTTATGTTGATGTTATTGTTTAATGTAAAAATGTGATGGAGAGGGGCAAATTTAAGCTGGTTCCTGGGCAATGTAGACCCGCCTGTTACCTGACAGCAACGCCTTTGTACCTAGCAGCAGTGAGAAAAGTTGCAGGCTGCTTGTTGTTGTTGAGTTGTTTAGTCGTGTCCGCCTCTTCGTGACCCCCTGGACCAGAGCACGCCAGGCACTCCTGTCTTCCACTGCCTCCCGCAGTTTGGTCAAACTCATGCTGGTAGCTTCGAGAACACTGTCCCACCATCTCGTCCTCTGTCGTCCCCTTCTCCTTGAGCCCTCCATCTTTCCCAACATCAGGGTCTTTTCCAGGGATTCTTCTCTTCTCATGAGGTGGCCAAAGTATTAGAGCCTCAGCTTCAGGATCTGTCCTTCCAGTGAGCACTCAGGGCTGATTTCCTTAAGAATGGAGAGGTTTGATCTTCTTGCAGTCCATGGGACTCTCAAGAGTCTCCTCCAGGACCATAATTCAAAAGCATCAATACTTCGGTGATCAGCCTTCTTGATGGTCCAGCTCTCATTTCCATACATCACTACTGGGAAAACCATAGCTTTAACTATACGGACCTTTGTTGGCAAGGTGATGTCTCTGCTTTTAACAGTGTTGATGACTGACAAGGTTTTTCGTTCCGTTTTTTAATTCAGCTGATTTGAGGGACATTCTTGTGTTTAAGTCCTCACCAGTTGCATTCCTGAAAATCGTGTAGGTTTAATTCAGGAACACAGGAAGCTGCCTTGTCTAGCTCAGTATTGTCCACACTGACATTTCAACCGGGCAAAAAACACACTCCAGGAGGCTGCAAAGTAGGGCTGTTGAGGAGGTGTGGCCTTGGGGGAGAGTCCCAAGGGCCAGATAGAGAGGCCTGGGGGCCGTATTTGGTTCTCTATTCCATGGTTTACTGTGACATTCAAAAAAAGCCATTCTGTTTTCCTGCTTTTATCGTAAGCTGCTCTGATTGTGTGTATAGAAATCTATTCAAGTATCTGAAGAAGTGTGCATGCACACGAAAGGTCATACCAAGAACAAACTTAGTTGGTCTCTAAGGTGCTACTGGACATTTATTTTATATAATATATATTTCTACTGTATAGAAATCGTGATGTATAAAATTCTATTTCTTTTAAATGTCTCTCCCCCCCCTTTTTTTTGTTTTGTTTCAGCTCTGACCGGCTGGTAGAAGAGACAATAAGGTAAGACGCAGCCTACCACCTCATACCCATCTTGTTTCTAAGCTCATGCATTTTGCACTTTCCTGCTTGTACAATCAGACTTGCAAAGCTCACCCCTCCCTGCTTCAGAGTTTAGCCTCTATAAAATTTCTGAGGGGTCCTAATGCCAGCCATCAACCAGCCATCTCACTTCTGGTGGGTGCAAAGATCGATGGAGATAGTTCTCTAATCCATATAGCTGCCCACTAAATTTCTTATACAACTGGAGTAATTTTTCCACTGGGATTCTAGGGTAATAGTCATACCTATGACTGTGTGGGCGGGTGGCGGGTGGCGCTGTGGACGCGGGTGGCGCTGTGGGTAAAAGCCTCAGCGCCTAGGGCTTGCCGATCGAAAGGTCGGTGGTTCGAATCCCCGCGGCGGGGTGCGCTCCCGCTGCACGGTCCCAGCGCCTGCCAACCTAGCAGTTCGAAAGCACCCCCGGGTGCAAGTAGATAAATAGGGACTGCTTACCAGCGGGAAGGTAAACGGCGTTCCGTGTGCGGCTCTGGCTCGCCAGAGCAGCGATGTCACGCTGGCCACGTGACCCGGAAGTGTCTGCGGACAGCGCTGGCCCCCGGCCTCTTGAGTGAGATGGGCGCACAACCCCAGAGTCTGTCAAGACTGGCCCGTACGGGCAGGGGTACCTTTACCTTTACCTTTTATGACTGTGTCATCCAGGATCCTATACAGCAATGAGACCTCATGCTATTAAGCTACTTTCCCAAGTACTTAATTGCCTGAGAGCCGCTGTTTGACTATCTCTCCCACTCCCCACAAAAAGAAGACATTTGCCCCCACAATAACCAGGATAGTGGAACGTTTTGTAGATCTTTTCTAAGTCACTGGCGTATCAAAATAAAAAAGGGGAAATTGAATACTGCCACCAGCCACTTGACACTTTTAGTCATAACTTTTCTTTAAAAAGCCACATCGACGTAGTTCAACAAAATGAACATTGTTAGGGGGTTGGACTAAATGACCTTTGAGTCCTTGTTACTTTGACAAGTTGACTTCACTGCTCTCCTGGGGTGGGATGCAAAGCCAGTGTTTGTTTCCCAAAGCTCTTCATTCTGGACTCTGTTCTTCAGACCTGTTTTATTTCTGAACGTTCATTTATTATCTTATAAATGCACAGTGTCACGTCACGTGACGCCTTCAGCACTGCTGGGCTGCCGAAAGGCAATTTGAGGGTGTTTTAAATATAGATTAGCAGCAGCTGCCAGTGAGGGGCAGAGGTGTTTGCAAAGTTGTGAGAGGTAGCTCCCCTCTTTACTCAGACTGTCACCTTCTGTTTTGAGTTTTCGTTGCCTTTTCAATTTGCAGCCTACTTGCTTTACACACACACACACACACACACACACAGCAGCATGGCTGCCTCCAGTTTTGAAGGCAGTGCATAGCCATCGTAGCTCATAGCCGTTGATAGCCCTCTCCCTCTGTGAATTTGTGCAGTCGCCTTTCATGGCCATCACTGCCTCCTGTGGCAGTGAGTTCCACAGTTTAACTCCATGCTCCATGAAGAAGGGCTTTTTTTTTAAACCTGTCCTGAATTTTCCAACATTCAGCTTCATTGGATGAGAGAGAGGGAGGGAAACTTTCATGTCCTCGTTTCAGGTGTGGCTTCTGCAAAACACCCTGTGAGAACAAAGCCCATGTTTTCGTTCTCTTCTCTCCCTCCCCCGCCCCCCAGTTTTCTTCACTGTAATTGCAAACATTTGTGTATCTGATTAATTGGTGGTAGTGCGGCTGCTGCTGCTGTTGCTTGAGGGAATTGTACCCACTAGGAATTCGCCCGTCTCTTAATTAGCTCCTTGTCTGTCATCACCCAGTGGGAGCACGTGAGGCAATGCAGAGCCTGAGCGGCGTTGAGTTATGGCTGCTTGGGTGACTGGAGCGCGGTTGGCTTCCTGGTGTATTTCCATCATCGCTTAAGGCGGGTGGTAATCTGGGGAGTGGAGAGCAGGAAGAGATTGGAGATCTGCCCCAAGGGTCTTCCACAGGTCCCAAGGAGATTTGCGACAGAGCCCTAAGAGAAGGGCCATAGCTCAGTGGTAAGAGCTCGGCATGGCGAAGGTCTCAGGTTCAGTCCCTGATGGCATCTGGAACGCCAGAAATCCTGCAGAGCTGCTGCCAGTCTGTGTAGACAAGACAGTCATACTCGGGTTGAAGTTGCTTCAGGTTAAGCCTTTTTGGGTTGCGCTTCGCAGCAACCCAGAAGTAACAGAACGCGTTACTTCCAGGTTTCGCCACTCATGCATGCGCGTCATGCGCATACACGGAAGCGGCAAATCGTGACACACGCAGACGCACGGACATGGGTTGCGTTCGCTTCAGGATGCGAATGGGGCTCTGGAACGGATCCCGTTTGCATCCAGAGATACCACTGTACTGAGCTACATGGGCCAGTGATCTGACGCAGGATAAGGCAGCTTCCTGTGTCCCTGTTTAAACCATCCCTTTCTTTAGAATCATGAGGACTGGAATCTTAGCTTATTTTTAGGGAAAGGAGCATAGTTTAGTGGTACACAGACCCTGCTTTGCAGAGGTAGAGCTGGGAATGTTGTCTGAGGTCCTGGAGAGCTGCTGCCAGTCAACGCGGACAATACTGAGCATAGATAGGCTGATGGTCTGGCTTAGTATAAGGCAGCCTTTATTTTAGAACCATGAGGACTTGAACCTTGTTTTGCTTTTAGTGCAAGACCCACAGTTCAGTGGTCGACTGTGCTGTGTGCTGTGGACACAGAACCTCCTGGGTTCAATCCCTGACAGGTAGAGCTTGTTAAGACTCCCTTCCTGAAACCTTGAGGAGCCATTCCCTTTCAGGGTGGACCCCACTGGGCTTAGAAGGACCGATGAGCTGACTGCATGAGGAACCTTCACCTGTTCCTCTGAGATCTGTTGTCTTGCAGGAATTTGGGGGAGATGACCCCGTAATCTGTCCTAGTGAGATAAATTTAATTTTAAATTTTTGCACATGTGAAATTCAGCTCCAGCATCCTAAACAAAAATTTCCCCTTCCTTCCTTCCCTCCCTCACTTTTCTCTTGCATTGCCAACTCCGTGGAAAAGAGCACTTTTGGAAGTGCTTTCTCTTGCAAAACCATGTCCTCATTCTCCCCTCCCTCCCTCCTTCCTCCCTTCCCCTTTGTTATGTCAGCTTTCCCTGAAATGAAGTAAAACGAATGACCGGCTACGCTCCATGCGCCACCTAAATGAAGCAGAAATTCCTGTGCGCCATCATCAAGAAAGGCTCCTTGCTGGCTCCTCCAGAGTTTTATTACTGCTGGGGGATTTTTGAGGGGAGGAGCACTCTTCGTTGTGGCTCTGTTTCTTTAGCTGCAAACCCTGAGAAAATTGGAAGTGGGGTTTGGGGGGTGATCTCTATCAGCTCTTCAGGGTACATTAAACCTCCTCCTGAAAATTGGAGAAGGATGTACCAGGGTGTGGCATTTAGCAGAGTGACCTAGTGAGAGAATTCTGTTAGCTCTGGGCAACAGCCCGAGTGGTTCAACTCTCTCCCCAGCCCCTAGTCATATTCAGCAGTGACTGGTGCCGTTGAGACTGGTGGGACGGAAGGTAGGGATGCCAACGGTGGGCTGGGCCAGAGGTAACAAGGGGCAACACAGAGGAGGAAGAGGAGGGAGCTGGTGGGCAAGGTCAGCCCCAGGGGGCTGGTTTGAGTAATGAGGCAGTCAGGTGTGGGGCTGGCTGAAGGCAAGAAGAATCACCTTGGTGGGGCAGTGCCCCAGTTGCCCTCAGTAGCTACGATACGATAATCTTTATTGTCATTGTCCCATACAGAACAACGAAATTGAAAAAAATCTACATCAGACATTCAGAAACCAACAAGCCCGCTATCCCAACTATCCCAGCCTGGTTAGCCCCCTAAAAACTCTGATACCCCATAATTAAATACAATATACTCCCATAGAGACTACCTTACACTGCGTTTAAAACCAAAATCGCATTTGGATAAAAACTGTTTCTCAGGCGGCTAGTCCTAGTCTTTATAACCCTGTACCTTCTTCCAGAAGGCAGAAGCTGAAAGAGATCATTTCCGGGGTGCGCACTATCCTGTGCCATCTCTGCAGCTTTCTTATGACACCTGGAAGCATAGATTTGATCCAAGGTGGGAAGAGTGCACCTAGTTATTATCTCCGCAGTCTTTACAACCCTGGATAGCATTGTTTTTCCCCTGACTGTGCAGCTCCCAAACCAGTTTCTACTGCACACACAAACAGAGGTATTTCGTGGTCAAATGCAGGTGTGTAACACTAGCATGTCAGGCAGGAGGGACATTACCAGGAAGTGCCACTGGGGATTATAGAATTGTAGAGTTGGAAGGAACCCCAAGGTCATCCAGTCCAACCCCCTGCAATGCAGAAATCTCAGTGAAAGCATCCAAGAGAGGTGGCCATCCGACCTCTGCCTTGAAACCTCCAAGGAAGGAGAGTCCGCCACCTCCCAAGGGAGACCATTCCACTGTCAAACAGCTCTTGCTGTCATAAAGTTCTCCCTGAATCTCCTTTCTTGTAACTTGAAGCCACTGGTTCAAGTCCTACCCTCCGGAGTGGAGAAACCAAGCTTGCCCCATCCTCCATGTGAGTCCTTCAGATATTGGAAGATGGTTCTCCTATCTCCTCTCAGTCTCCTCTTTCCCAGGCTAAACATCCCCAACTCCCTCAACCGTTCCTCATCAGGCTTGGTTTCCAGGCCCATAGCCATCCTGGTCGCTCTCCTCTGCCCACCTTCCAGCCTGTCAACATCCTTCTTAATTGTGGTAGGCAGAACTGGAATCCGTACTCCAGGTGTGGTTTGACCAAGGCAGAACAGAGTGGGGCTATTACTTCCCTTGATTGGAGCACTCTCCTTCTGTGGACGCAGCCTCACATGCCAAGCGGGGGCTCTGTGCTGGTACTTACTCACTGGCCCTTGGACTTCGCCCCCTCCCACTGCCTCCCCCAGCGGAAAAACCCAGCCCCTTTCTGCTGCTCTGAGGTTGGTGCTGGAGAAGGCGGTTCTGCTGCTCCAAGCATCTCACCGGAGGTTTTTAAGCAGCTGTCGGAAAAGGTTCCTTTCAAGCTTCTCTTCCTTAATGGTGTCCCCCCCCCCTTCCCCTCTCTCTCCTTTTTAATGCAACAGAAAAGCATCTGGCAGCCTTCCCCCCCCCATCCCGCCAGCTGAAGCGAGGGGAGCGCTTGCGGCGGCCTTTGCAGCGAGCGGAGCCTGAGATGTATTTAACATTAGCACTTGGCTCGGGGCCCTCCCACCCGCACAGCTGGCTGGCAGGGCATTGTGGCGGGTCGATTGGGTTGCCTCTGCAAGCCCCCAAACCCAGCCCTGCGCAGATCGGGGGCCGCTCAGTTGCCCAGGGTAAGGATCGTGGTTCTGGACAAAAACAATTATGCATTTCTTGGGCAGAAAACGGCAGCTCCCTTGCCCAAGGAAACCCTTTCCAGCTGAGGGCCACATCCAGTCCTGGGCAACCATCTGAGGGCCACATGCCTGTGGTGGGCGGGGCTAGACGTGGAAGTAAGTGGAGCAACAGATGCAAATCTTGTAATTCTTCAGTAGGCTGGTTTCTTCACACCCACCTGCCCTTCTCTTGGAAAAGGGCCATAGCTTTCCAGGTTCAGTCCCCAGCATCTGCCAAGTTTAAACTATCTTCAGCTTGAAACCCTGGAGAGCTGCTGCCAGCCAGTGTAGACAACCCTGAGCTAGATGGGCCCAGTCATCTGACTACTGAGTCAGCTTCCTATGATTCTATACTCCATCTGCAAAAGTAAGAAGCATTATCAGAGTGAATTTTCTGCTTTAGGGATGCAAATAATTTGGTCATATGCCCTCCCCTTGATGAATGTTTATGTTTTACCTATAAATACCGAAATGTCACACCACGTCTCCCTGGCAAGACCTGTGCTCAGTTCTGGGGCTTTTTGAATATTTGAATTTTTTTTTAATGTCCCTACATGGGCTGCCGCAAATCCACATTGGCCAGCAGAACAAACCTTTATTATTTGTATGTTCAGAGTACAAACTGAGAGGCAGAAAAGCTAATGCTTTGGATTTCTGGTGAAAGGAAAACTTTATGAGGTGGGTTCCTTTACAGGTCGAAAAGATACTCAGGGAAGCTGTATAATTTTTTCCTCCGTGGAGAAAGTAGGTAGTGAGCATTCCTCCCCCCCCCCCCCCGCCCTCACAATACTAGAACCCCAGAAAGTCACCCATTGAAACTGAATGCTGGGAGATTCAAGGGAGACGAAGGAAGGACTTTGTCACATAGTGCATGGGTAAACTGTGGAACTCACTGCCACAAGAGGTGATGACCAGCAGGTTGGACGGTTTTAAAAGGGGATTTGGGGGGAGGAATTCATGGTGGATCAGGCTATGAATGGCTACTGACTATGATGGCTACGCTCCCTCTCTGCCAGAGGCAGTATTCCGCTGTATCTCAGTCTGAGACTCATAAACAGGGAGCATGCAGTTGCATGGTCTGATCCAGCAGCCAAGCTCTTCTGGTGGCTTTACGTAAAGAAGGTGGATACTTAGGCTGGGAAGTGTTATCGTCTGAGTGGAGGTTTTCATTAGCCAATCACATAAATCACTTGGCTGTCATTCACCAATTACGTAAAGCCAATTATGGTTGTTTATTTCACGGCAGTGCAAAGTTTCTCTGACTTTCTAAGTCGGGCCATAGCTCCGTGGCAGAGCAGCTGCCTTGCATGCAGAAATCCCCAGCTAAGGTTGGGGAGACCTGGACAGACACTGCCAGTCAGTTCAGACAGTGCTAGGTGGAACCCATAAGGCTCTCCTTTTGCATTGGAAGGACCATAGCTCAGCGGCATACAGCATCTGCTTTGCACACAGAAGGCCCCAGATTCGATGCCCAGCATCTTTGAGCAGGACCGGAAAGATCCGGTGCCCGAAACCCCAGAGAGCCACTTTAAGTCAAGTGTAGGCAATTCTGAGCTAGATGGACGAATGAGTCTGACTTGGGATGAAGCAGCTTCTGGTACCTGATACTCTCTTAGCAAGAAATCCACCCAGGAAATGCACTTTCCAGAGTTACAGAGCAGCATGGCAAACCTCTCTCTCTCCCCCTCTTGCTCCCTGTGTTGCAGAACTTCCTTCCTGTCTCCCATTTTCGTTTTCACCCCTTTTCCTTCTGCTTCCTGCGCATTTGCTGGCAGCTCCTCCAGCTTCGAGGATCCCCTTTTGAATCCCTTCCTTTGCCACACCACAGAAGGAGAAGACTTTCTTCTGCTTTGTTTTCCTGCCTCCGTCCCCTGCTCGCCTGATCTTCAGAAGAGGGCTCCCAGAAGAGTGCCGGCGGGTTGCCTCTCTTTCCCCTTGGGCCTGGGTAGCTGTGGAAACAAACACCGATTTGCCGTGCTGCGTATACAGAGGTTCCCGTTTTTAAAAACACATACAAAAACCCAACAACGTCCTATACATCTGCCTTGGGGTTTGCCCCAACTTAAAGGCCGCATCTTAACACGGCTAAACACTTCTGAAACAAAGCAGACCTCAAGAAATAAATAAGAGCAAGATTCAGCAAAGTGAAGCTTCCCCATCCCTGTAGGGCCCGGGTTCAAACCCCAGCGGCATCTCCAGGTAGGGCTGGCGGGAAAGACTCCCTGCCTGAAAGCATGGAGAGCTGCTGCCAGCCAGTGCAGACAACCCTGGGTGGCGTAGGCAAGTGGTCTGGCTCAGTATAAAGCAGCTTCTTGTGTTTGTATCTTCCTCTCCGCTCCTGATTAGCTTTTCTGCTGCCCAGCCTGTCCGCAAGTTGTGCTTCGCACGACCTCTCCCCACAGCAACCAGGGCTGGCTCCAACACCCTCATGCACAACTCCCTGTCACTCAGCAAAGTGCCTTTTCACTGTCATCACCAGCTGCCACCGCCTCTCTCCTTCCTTGTTGCGGCCGCTCCCTGCTAGCTTGCTTGCATCCTTAAAACATTCTAGGCTTTGGGTCGCTTATGGTCTTCTCTTCACCCTCTGTGGTCAGTCCTCTTGTCATAAGCAGCACACTTTAGACCGCTTCCAACTTTGAAAAGGAAACGCCTTCATGGAGCTTTAAACACAAGACGGTACCTGCTCGTGGGGCCTTCTGCTGGTTTTAACAGCCATCCCCTCTGTTTAGGGAACCCTGGGATCCGAGTGGGGCCTTGGGATCTCTAACAGAGGCTTTTCCCGTGCACCCTCATCAAATGACAACTCCCAGAATTCTTTGGAAAGCGGGAAACCATGATGGTTGAAACCGTATAGTACAGTGTTTCCCAACCTTTTTTGGGCAAAGGCACACTTGTTTCATGAAAAAAATCTCGAGGCACACCACCATTACAGCCCCGTGACGTCAGCGCGCAGCGTCACGCCGGGAGGGACGCACGAAAGTGTAAGTTTCAATTTTTCCCCCTCCCCCTTGCCTTCCTTCTGTGCCAACCGCCAAAAAGCCAAGAAAAAAGCCAAGACTTTAGGGCAGCAGGTCGACACGGAAGAAGCTCCTACCTAAGGACAGGTGCGACGGCCGTGTCCTCTTCTGCCACACTTGGCAGCCCTGCCTCACGGTCGTGACTCCCACCCTGATTTCTCCCCGCAGGTCGAGCGGCACAGGCAGCCCAATGTGTCCAGCCCAGACACAAGCCCCGCTTCCCCACTCTAGATCCTGAATGCGACCAAGTGCTCTGGACTCCCGAGCAGGGTGGGAAAGAGGACTCGCATCTGGTAGCCTCCGGGCTCCTCGCCTGCTCGAGGGATGGCATTGCAGGCAAGCTGCCGGCCGTCGCCATCGCCGCCCCCTCATGCGAGTGGACCTGCCTGGAGTGGTGGGCCGGGGGAGGCTCGCTCTCTGTGGGGATGTGGCCCGCACGCGCGGCCCCGCTTCCTCCTGCCCAGGGCTGAGCTCCTTACCCGCGATCTCGGTCTCGCGCACGCGGATCCCACTTATTCTGAAGCTCGCGCCACTAGCCGGGGCTCTCACACCGTGCCAGGGCGAGGCGGCGCGGCCCACTGACGTCATCGCGGCTCGCCGCCGCCCTCGACTTCCCTGTTCCCTCCCCTCCCTCGGGTCGCCGTGGTTACCGAGGACTGCAAGCTGCTCGGGCGAGCGTGGGGCATTAAGTGGGAGAAGGAAAATTAAAATTAAAACTCGCCTGAAGGCCGCCTCTCCGGATATCTTTCGAATTTTTTAATTTTTCCCGCGGCACACCAGGCAACGTCTCGCGGCACACTAGTGTGCCGCGGAACACTGGTATAGTAGCCACATTCAGCTTGTACTTGTCAACATGCTTCCACTTGCATCCATACATATATGTGTGGCAGCTTTTTGTTATGTCAGATTGCAAGTTATTCAGGGTACCAGTGACATTACCTTTCTTTCCTTTTCTCTCTCTCTCTGCTCACCCACCTCCTTTCCAGCATTGCCATGGCAACGAAAGAAAACATGACCTCTCAACGAGGGATGATGAAGTCCATACAGAGCAAGATGAACACTTTGGCCAGTATCCTTTCAAAGAAAGCCGGTTCTGCTTTCAAACACCCCCACGTTGCAATTCACTGCGGCTGGGCAGGGTGGGTGCGATCTTCCTCTAGCTAAACTTTGCCTTGGACCTGCTCCGGAGCGCGAATCTTACTTGCACGTAGCAAGACTCTTGTTCTGCCGGGTGAAATAACTCAAACTTGGGTTTCTGTTCCTGCCAGATTATTCAACGCATGAATCTGAGCAGTGTCCCAGGCCAGGGTTAAAGGCACAGAAGGGGAACTGGGTGGCAAAGTGTGAGCTAAGACATCGATCCAACAAGCTGCACGCCACCCCTGCAGGGCGGGCACCAGCCTGAGCATGGCATAGAACAGGCACCTTTGCTCTGGGCAAGCAAATGGAGACTCCTGCAAGTGTGTTGGGCATGTGAGGTTCGTTCCTCATGGCTTTGGCATTGCCATGTCCTTGGAGATGGAAGCGCTACCTCAGTATCCAACTTGCTATCAAGGAAGCTGCTTACTCGCAGAAGGGGCTGACAGCAACAGGGTGTGTGGACCAGGCTAGAGGTGTCCAATATCACGGGGTGTGGGGGGACACCTCTCTGACCCCCCCTTGAACCTTCCCCATGGTCAATCTCCTCTTGATGACTGGCACTGCCCCAATTTCCCCCCTCTCTCATCCTGCTCAGACTCCGCCTGCCCCTCTGCCAATTCGTCTAGCTCCAGATCCCCACTCTCTCCAACCCATCTCCACGGGGATCGTGAGAATTCTCCTTTGACACCTGCCCCCCCCCCTTTGGAGGAAGCCTTCTAAAGGACAAGCAAACTTTTCGAACGAAAACCAAAGGAAATCTCTTAGGTCAGCCTTTGCAAGCTCCCATGGTAGACCACGGAACTATTAATCTCAGGGTTGTGGGTTCGAGTCCTGCATTGGGCAAAAGATTCCTGCATTGCAGGAGATTGGGCTGGATGAGCCTTGTGGTCCCTTCCAACTCTGATTCTACCATCAGCCTCTGTCAGCACAGCCGTGTTTTAGACTACAACCCCCATCAGCCCTAGCTGGAACAGCCGTATTTTGGACTCCAGTCCCCATCATCCCCTGCTGAAGCGACCATGTTTTGGACCCTATCAGCCCCAGCTGGCACTTCCAGGCTAATGGGAGTTATAGTCCAAGTCCTTGGGGGGGGGCAAGGTTGGCAGAGTCTTCTTCAGGGGTTTCTTCCATCTGCCTCTCCCTCCCTTTCCTGCAACCAACCGGAAGATTGCTGCAACTTCAGCGCATCCCCCAGGCTGCTCTCGTTCCTGTCCTGGTCTCTGTGTCTCCCCACCCACCCCTGACTCGTTCTCCTCGTTCCTCTTCGCTCCCCAAGCCTAAGAACAAAGCTTTTGCCCCCTCCTGCCTCCCTTGCATGAGCCCAAAGAAAAGGCATTAAACTTCATTTGATTAGACAGATCACATTCCCAAAGATGCGCAGCTTGATGAACCGTAAATTTCATTCAGCCTTCTCTTTTTATTTCCCCCGTTCCTTCGTCCCCCCCCTCCCTCCCCTCCAGCATCGGGCACAAACAAAGCGACGTTGGCTATTAGCATCTCCCTTAAAAGATTATTGGGGAAGGAGGTATAAGACCAGCAGAAGGCGCAGCCTTTTCCGGTGCTGCTGATCAGCAGGGAAAGCTTTTTATTTGCTCCCGCGAAGCCATTGCTGTCGACTCCAAGGGACCCCCTCATAGGCGAGGCCCAGAGCAAAGGAGAGTCCCCAAGCCCTGCTTCCTTGCTGCGTGACATGCAAAGGAATCTTGGAAGGCAGGGATGGAGAGAGACAGGTGGCCCTCCGGACATCATTGGCCTCCAGCTCCAGCAGCCTCATTGCGGCAGATGGCAGGGCATGATGGGAGTTGTAGATCTGGAGGTACGCGGGTGGGAGTTGTAGATCTGGAGGTACGCGGGTGGCGCTGTGGGTAAAACCTCAGCGCCTAGGACTTGCCGATCGTCAGGTCGGCGGTTCGAATCCCCGCGGCAGGGTGCGCTCCCGTTGCTCGGTCCCAGCGCCTGCCAACCTAGCTGTTCGAAAGCACCCCCGGGTGCAAGTAGATAAATAGGGACCACTTACTAGCGGGAAGGTAAACGGCGTTTCCGTGTGCTGCGCTGGCTCGCCAGATGCAGCTTTGTCACGCTGGCCACGTGACCCGGAAGTGTCTTCGGACAGCGCTGGCCCCCGGCCTCTTAAGTGAGTTGGGCGCACAACCCTAGAGTCGGACACGACTGGCCCGTACGGGCAGGGGTACCTTTACCTTTTAAGATCTGGAGGGCCATAGCCACTCCCCATCCCCATTTAAGGAGGAGGAGTTGGAAGAATCCTTCTTTGTGCATCAAGCACAGGGACACCTGTGGTCCCACAGATGTTGTCAGACTCCCAACTCCCCGTATCCCCTGCATGGCTGGTGGCAGAGCATGATGGGTGTTGTAGTCCAATGGCATCTTTCCTGTCCCCTTCATAAGGGCACTGTTGCTCTTCCCTCTGGGGGAAGCCATGTCTATTAGGGCTGTTTATAATGCTTTTCCCTTGCGCTGGAAGTAAACCACTAGGGCACATTGTCTTCTTTTTTTTGCACCCTGATTCCCTGGCCTGCGTATGTTCAGTATATGCTATGTTACTTTCTCTCCCTCCCTCCTTCTCCCCCCTGCCCCCCCTCGGTTAGTTGTTATGGTCTCTAAACAATTATCTAAAGCAGCTAAGCTCCCTCTGTATCACAAACTAAGCCAGTCATTTACGAAGATTAAATACTAGGATTCTGCATAATTGTGAGCATTAAGCTTCCTCACCCCCCTTCTCATTATTGCTCCCCCCTTTTCTTTTATTCTGACGGCAAAAAAACAATTGCAGTCCCACTAATAAGCGGTTAAGCGGTTAAAGCCACATGTCTCTCCTTAATCTCAGCAGTTGGGGACTTTTCCTTCCCTTCTTTGATGACTAATGATCTTGGGGACGGGGTTCTGACATGTTCATTTCCCCTTCTCCCCTCCCCTATGCTCTGCTCATATTAAAAATTCAAATCTTCATGGATTGGGTTGGGGAACCTCAAACCCTTGGGGGCTGAATGCGGCCCCCTCCAAGCCTCTCTGCCTGCCCCCCACGATTCTCCCCAGGCCATGCCGTTCACGAGCCCTGCTTTACACTCTCCTTGAGGTGAAGAAAGAGAGGAAAGGGGGGAGATGCTGGCCACCCCATTGATCTGCCCCTCCCCACCCCATGTATCTATTTCCTAAAATCCTTCTGAATCAAAAAGGGCCCTTCTGTGATTGAGTATCTGCACCGGTTGGATTTCTGCTCATCGTGGAGCTTTTGAAAGCATGGCTGCCTGTCCAGGGGAGGGGAGGAAGTGGGTAGCTTCAGGGCAAGATGGGGAACCTCTGGCCTTCAGACCTCTCATCTCAGCCCTTGGAACATTCCCTTGCCACGCCTCCTCTCCTCAAGCCACACCCCTCTCTGGCCCTCCTTCACGCCCTCCCTTGAGAGTTTCTGCCTGCCTGGAAACGTGTCCCTGAACTGGCCATGCCTCTTCGCTTGCCTGCATGGAGGACGGAGAGAGGGGTGGATGCGCCTGAATATCAAAGCCATGAATGTTTATGCGGCTGGAGGTTTTTAAGCAGAGGTTGGG